TTACTATATTAATAAATACAATTTGAACCCTATTTTTTAAAAAGGGGTTTAATTGTGTTTCAAAAAAATTACAAAAATGGTAAATGTAATTCAGAAAGGCCGGATCGAACCGAGTTGGCAAGCAATGCAATTAAAAAATACCAAGTGGATATATCCATGGTCATTGTGACTTTTTTATTGTTATAAAAAAGTCCCTCTTTGTTGTTCAAATAAAATTAGACTGAAGATAAGACTAATTAATTAATAAAATAAATCAATGAGGCTTATTCAACACATTATAACAGTCCAAACAACAAAATATAGAGGTACAAGCGCTTCTTTTTATAATAATATTTTATTATAAATGTGAAATAAAATAGAAAAATGTGAAAAAAAACTATGAAAAAAATAAGTATGAAAGAAAAAGAAAGAAAGAGTCGCTTGGATATTATTGATTAATAACATTGTTTGTTTGTATTTTCTTGTTATAATATTTTTAAATATAATATAGAGTTAGTCGGAAAAAGTTGTCCCGTCGCCAATGTTGTCCTGGGCTTTTTGATCAATGAGAATTGGAAAATATTGGGATCATGTTCGAAATATAAAAAAATCTTCGTTTCAGTTTTTTTCCAAATTTTTCTCATTTTTATTTTTACCTAATTCTTGGGGCTTTAAAAAAATTGTGTATAAATTGATAAAAAGGACAACATCGGCGACCGGGACAACGTTTTACAACAAACTTTATTAACATTTTGAAATACAATAAAAAATAATTATTATTATGTTACTACACGATTGATCATTTATTTGTTAATTTTTTGATCACATTTATATAATTTAAGAAAAAATCAATTATGTTACTCTTATAACATATAAAGAGTCTACATAGCGCCAAGGATTCATCTTTTATAACCCATATCTTTGCCTTGGTATTACAGGTTTTATTCACACTAATATCAAAAATTTTATTATTATTTTATTTGTTTTGAAAACGAAATAAATATAAAACAAATAACAATTCTAACCATTGAAACAATACGTTTATTTGCATTTTCAAGTTGTAAATTATTAAAATGTAGTAAAAATGTTAAAACAAATGGAAGAAGAATTATCATATATCGGTGCTGATAATAATAAAATCATTAATATATCATATTGATATATATAAGCCACATATCAAAATTCGAAAATATTCTATCTTGTTTCAATCTCTCAATTAATTCAAAAAATATTTATTCAAAGTATATAAATTTTATAAAAATATAATAAAACAATGATATAATATATCAAACTCTTATATAAAACTGTTTTATATCAAAATGTGTTACTTGAACATGAATTCTAGAATTGACAAACATGCAAAATTGTTTGGTGCAACATTAATATGTCAACCCATCTTTTAACTTGATTACAATACAACAAAAATGTATTTTACTGTATAAAATGCAATTCAATTATAATTAGAGAAAAAATTAATTGCTCATTGGTTTAATGAAGATCAATTTGATTATTCAACTTTTTCAAATATATGTTTAAATAATTTTAATAAAAAAATTTCGATTTGTTTAACAAAGTCGCATGTTTCAGTTTTATCGATTCAGAAAAAAATCTCATATATCAAATTAAAAAACGTGCAAATAACAAACAAAATACCAATCGAATATTCAAAAATCGAAACAATTATGTGATATATTAATTATATTACTTAACATTAAAGAATATTTTCTGGAACCATTTTTAAACCCAACCCGACCACAAGAAATAATGGATGATAATGTGAAAGTTATAAAACGTAATCCAAAACAAGAGCATATTCAAACCACAAAAATAAACATTGATAATTGTATAAAAGGTGTCAAAGTTAATGATATTTAATATCATATTAATGTTAATCATGATAATAATGAATACCAATTGAATGATCGTGTTGACAAAAATGTCGAACTGGGCCAATATAAAAACATTTTGTAACTGAACCAAAAAACACGAAATAATTGTCACCAAATCAAACCCATTGAACACGAATTAAGATTTATTGAAAATGGATTTTGAGAAAAAAATTCAAAGAAAATGAAAATATTAAAAAATTATATAATATTTATATTATCCAAAATTAAAGAAAATAATAAAAAAACAAAAAAACAAGTGTAAAATTGAAAAGGGTGGAAATTATTTAAAAAAGTAAAAACATGAATCTTTTAACTGGTTTGATTATAGAAAATATGGTTTTTACTTCTCTCAAATCCAAAAGTATTTCATTATTTTATTTGTAATAAATTTGTGTGATGTTGATATTATTAAATACAAATTAAAAATGAATAAAACCACCTTTTAAGGAGAGTCGATTTATCACGTTATTTAGATTATACAAATTCTTTTTTAAAAAATCAAAATAGTTTCGGACTAAGGTCTAGTTACCGGACCAAGGTCCAGTGGCCTATCTGTATTTTTAATTAAAATAAATAACAATTAAACGACTAAATACCAATAAAAAAGAGACACATTGGCGTTGTATTGATTGTTTTTAATTGGTAGAATACATTACACAATTCAAATTATGTATTGTTGCATTCTGTTAAAAAACAAAAATAAAACAAGTTGTGTGCATTGAATGTGATATTTTACCTTAAAAGAAGTCAAAACATTGCATATAAAAATGCAAAGTTCTTGTGTTTCAACATAATATAAATAGTTAATCGTGTCATTTTTGATAAAAAAATTCAAAAATAAAAAATAGAAAAATCAAATGATATTTAAGCAAGAATTTGATAATCTAAAACATAAATTAAAATATGGCAATAATGTAATCATATGCCTATTAATCGTTACAATTATGTTTATGATTAAATGGAGTAATTAGTATAAATTCAAGCCCATATCTTGTAAAGAATTTGTTTATGCAAATTTATGAAAAATATGACAAATAATAATTCTTCTTTTATGGTAAGAATAAAATAATGTATGTATTTTGCATTAATATTAAAACAATGACAAAACGATACTCAATTAACAACACACATTTTCGAAGGCGTCTCCAACAAAAGAGAGATAGAAATTATTCAAAAACTCTCTTTAAACATTAATATTAAAAAACAGTGACGCGACTTTTTCCTTTGGTCAGTAAAACATTGTCAGAATAAAAAAATCTAGTTGTTTCTTTTTTTGTCAAACATTAAATGTATTAATCATGTAGAATAATAACATCCAACGATAGGCCGGCTCGAGATGAGTCGGCAAATCGCGTACATGAAAATATACCTGATTATTTTATTATCAAAATATATACAATATATATTCGATAATGGTCCAGTTTATGTTCCAGTTTATTCGATATGAGGTCAAATAATAAAAACTTGAATAAGTAACAAAAAATACCTCATTTTGTTTTTTGTCTCAACAAAATTCCAAATTATATTTTCACCCAAAAATTATTTTTGCCATTTTTTATAAAATTTTTTATAATTTATAATATGAAAAACAAATGCTTTATTTTACTAGTGTTTATTAAAACACAAAACGTCCGTTATAGAATCAAAATATTGACAGACAACATAAACAGCATTAAAACGAACATATTAAGAGCAATATTGACAACTCTTGGTTTTCAAAATAAACATGCGTTGTTTTATCATAATTCAACACGCTCCAACGACACATTAATTAACATTATTTCGGTTTTAGATGAAAAACTCATTTGCTTTTAAAATAATATTAATAAATTATTTTAATTTTTTAGTTTAATGACAATTTGGTTTTTTTATTACCATTTTAAGGTTTTGGATTGGAAATAATTAAATAATAGCAAAAAATAAAAGTTGTTGTTTTTTGATTTTTTTTCAATATTCAATAAAAGACCTCCCTCTTATTTTATGGTCTCTTGTCGAATAAATCCTTATATCGAATTGCCCTCTTATCGGATGTTGACTGTAATAAATTTGATTGTCAACAATTTACACAAAAAACAAAAAAACGATGCTTATTTACATCAACAAATGAAATGATTTATTTAATACGCGACATAAAAATATTGTTGATTTTCATGCATTAAAAGATCGAATACAACAATGAATCGAACAACTATTGCTGACAATATAAAACAACGAAAATCAAAAAAAAACAAGATGCGTCGTGAGCGTCAAGGAAAGAGAACCGTGGAGTTTTAGACAATCAGTTTATCAACTCATTGATTTTTGTAAAGACTTCTAAACTGTCCTCTAAATTTGTTTGCAACATTTTCCCATTATTTTGTTCATAATTATTACCAAATCAACTGTATTTATTCACTTTTAGATGTTTGAAAATGATTGGTCTAACCCTTATTTATGTTATTGGTTGTGTTATTGGTTATTTGGTTTTGGAATAGTTATATTTATAATATTTTTTGTGGTTATCTTTTCCCGTAAGTTAGGAACATTATTCATTAATAATTGACCAAAATAATAAATAAGGTTTATGGACAGACTTTACTCTAAAATTAATTATTAAAAAGGAATGCCATTTTTTACTGTTTTTGTTTAATTTACTATAAATATATAATAAAGCCACTTCAACGAACATTAAAGAAGGAGATTTGTATCGATTTCCCTTAATTTCAGCCTTGTTTTCTTTATTTCAAGTTACTATGTTTTAATTACAAATTTTTCAATTTTTTAAAACAAAAAATTCTATTATTAATTTAAATAATAATATTATCTATTAATATTGTTCTTTTTCATATATTTTAATAGATTTAAATTATTTTCACTTCCTTTTTTCCTTAACAACCGCTCATTTAAAATTATTTGATCATTTACTAATTTCAATATTAAAATTATATAAACAATTACTATAAAAATCAATTTTTTATGGAAAAAAATGCCAAAGCAAACACACTGTTTACTAAGCTGAAAATAAAATCTTTTTTAATACATAACAAATAACCCCGTTTCTTTGCGAAAGAATCATACAAGCCTATAGTTTCATTCGCTTTTTTTCTTTTGAAAAACATAGAAAGAAAAAAGGAGCACGAACTCTTAATTATTATGAGTTACGACCAAGAAGAGGTTGAGGACTGTATCTTTTGGGTTAACACACTTACACCGAAAGAGCCGCCAATAGACAAAATCGAGTCCTTGTTTGACGGGTCGCGGCTCATTCGAGTTTTAGAACAACTCTTAAAGAAAAAGGCGCCGCGTTATTTTCCGAAGGCAAAGACTCTATTTCAGATTCAACAAAACATTACAATACTTTTGGGCCTTATCGAGAAATCTTTTGGACGCGATGTAACATTTGATGTAAGTGAGTTGTCGAAGGGAAGCATATCCCACTTCCTCTCATTAGTCTTTTTTATTGCAAAGAAGACGGACACCCGTGTTGAAAAGAAGAAAAAGAATGGGAAAGTCAGTGTTGGGTCGTTCTTCGATCAAAAGTTTAATCGGGAGCATCAGATGAAGATGGAGACAAGAATGAAACAAATAGACATTAACAACGAAATCTCGGCAATTTCAGAAAAAATTATAGCGGGGACTGAGCTGAAAAAGGAAAATGAAGAGGTGTTGGAAACAACTCACCCATCTATTACAGAACAACAAGTCGTTGAACAAACAGTTGACAAAGTCGAACCAAAAAGTGAAGAAACAAAAGACGAGCAAGAGACTGCTAACCCTTCAACAGAAATTAAGACTGAAATTTTAGAAAAAAAAGAAGAGGAAAAACAGGAATTAAAAATAGAGCAAATTCAAGAAGAAAAAAATGAAGAGCCAAATCACCTTGAAATGAACGAAGAAAAACTCGACGAACAAAAAATCGAAGAAAAAAATGAGGAACAAAAGGATGAACAAGTCGAAGTCAGTAGTATTGTGGAAGAAGAAATTGCGCCTGTTGAAAAAGAGATACCACAAGTCGAGGAGCAAAAATCAGTTGATGAGATACAACCACCAATTTTGGCGAATAAACAAGATGATAAAGAAGTTGAAGAAGTGATTGAAATAGTCCCCAAAGTCGAAGAGGTGGAGGTACCAAAAGTTGAAGAAAAGAAGGAAGAGAATGTGGAAGAATTAACTATAAAAAATTTCATAGCCCCCGAACTTAAAAAACAGCAATCGATCTTAGAGAATCTGCCAAAAATCGAGGAGTCACCACAATGTGATTTTAACAAAGACAGTGAACATAAAGATGAACGTGACCACGTTTGTAAAACAAAAGGTGATAAAAACGAGAAGGTTGAAGAAAAGATGGAGGAAGTGGTGATTATAAAGTCTCCGAAAAAAGTAGTTCAAATTGAAGTGCCAAGACCGATACAAATTGACGTCAAAATAGTCTTAGAAGACACGCAACAAATGGACGAAGTGAAAGAACAAAAATCCGAAACGGAAACTCCAACACTTCCAGACTCACCAAAGGAATGTGAAGCTGATATAAAAGTCAAAGAACCATCTTCTGTAGAATCTGCCCCAATAAAACAAGAAGAACAATTAAATAAAGAAATGGAAGAACGTCCAATTCATCGAACGCCACTCTCTAAAGTCCGGAAAACGTTGCAAAATCAATCAACTCCAACTTTTACAATTCAAATCAGTCCTTCACCAAGCGAAGAAGTCAAAGAAACACCTAAGGATGAGAGTCCAAAGGAAGAAGATGTTCCTCGAGCAAAGACGCCGAATTGGGCGGAGAAAATGTATGATCCGGAAGATGTTGCGACCATTCAAAGATTGTGTTGTTCTGTGGTGTTCAGACAGAAGATCCACAAGACTTTAGTCCAAAGGAAACACGTCTTCACTGAAATTATTGAAACAGAAAAGGTGTATGTGAAACGACTGAACGACTTCCAAACTTTGTATCTTCCACTTGCTTTGAGTCTCTTACAAAATGATAAAGTCATGAAAACGTGTAGTGACGATATTGGTGTTATTCTTACGTTTAATAAACGTCTTCTTGCGACGATGGAAGACATTCAAAAGGCGAACATCTATGGAGAAGGTATTGGAACTGTATTTACAAAGCTGTCTTACTTTTTAAAGATGTATTCGAACTATATTAATAGAACAGATGAAATTAATGAATGCGAGGAAAAGGCACGTAAGCGCGATAAGAAATTTGAGGCGGCGATGATGCAAGTGCGACTTGCGAATCACTTGGAATCGTTCAATTCATATGTCATTCTCCCAGTCCAACGTATTCCAAGGTACCAACTTCTCTTAAAAGAGTTACTGAAGACAATCCACCCGGGACATAGTGAATATAAAACACTTTCCGAGTCATTACAAACACTCACTGCAGTTGGGATGTCTGTCAACGAATTTAAAAGAACTGTGGAAAACATGAACACCATCCCACAGATTCTTGCAAAGATGAAATACCAACCCCCAGTTACTCCAGCTGCGGCGAAACCATCTACCCGTTTCATCAAATTTGGAGTATTGAGTGTTGTCGATATGGAGTCGAGGACTAAACGGAGAAGTGTCAATTGCTTCCTATTTAACGACTTTTTGATCATCACAAAGATCAACGCGACGGGCACACTGCATAGAGGAAAGCTCGTTCCAGAGACTCTGGAAACTGTTTTAGAGTCGAGAAAGCATTTGGTGGTCGACGCTGTAATTGGTGTCGAGACGTATTGTGTGTTAGATTCCCCTAAAATAGACGACTGTCCTGCATTTGTTATTTCAACCTCCGACTATGGATGTGTCCAGATGTATTGTCTGAATGAAGACGAAAAAATCGAGTGGGTGACTGCATTGGATCAACAAGTGAGCAGCATTGAAGACCGAATGGTCATGATGAAACGCAAAACGAATTTAGATGAAGATTTGAGTACCCAAAAGGACACCATCAAGAATGTGTATAACAAGATGAAGTTGGTGACGATGCATGGGCCGACTCGTGGAGGGTATTTAGTGTTAAAAGACTCTATTCTCGGTCTCTTTACCTCTGTTGAAGACGCGTTTAAGAATGAGAACGTCCAAGAACTCTATTTCATGAAGTTTTGTTCAGTTGGATTTAATGGAGAGAATGGCTTCACAATTGTACAATATAAACCGGAGAGGGTCGAGACGAAAATCGAAGTGAACAATCTCTCGATGACACTGTTGTGGGTCTTCTTTTTAAGACAAGCGTGCTTAAAGAATTGGCCGAACTCCCCACTCAACATCTTTGAGAGAGATGGGTTCATAGGCATTCATTCTGCTGATATAGTGCATGGGCTACAGGGAAGTGTGTATAACCAGAATTGTTGTGATTGTGGGAGTGCTGTTATTAAATGTGTAGATTTGGACTTTGGGTGTTTCTTGTGTGTCAAATGTATGAAGGATCACAAGCTCTTTGGGAGAGATCCAAACGCACTTGGCACTTCTATGTTGAGTGTGATTGGGGATAAAGAGCCGAAGTGTATGAAGATGTTGATAGAAAAGGGAAACGTCTTTAACAATTTGGAACGGACTGGGTCTATCCGTGGGTCTGGAGCATCTCCGAATCTTCTTAATGATCGAATGACATTTGTGACGAAAAAATATGGACAACCGACTGGTCCACAGCATAGCGCGTCGAGAAAAGACAAACTCCGACGTATGTCAGCGGACACTTTAGTGAACAAAAAAGAAGAGGGTGAAATGAAGAGTGAAGAGAAGCCTGGGAAAGACGACAAAAGCGAACAAAGCGATTTGTGTGAAAAAATAGACCGAGTGGTCAAAGAGGAAGAAATGAAAGAAGCCAAAGAAAAAGAGACGAAAGAAAAGGAAGCCAAAGATGTTAAATCGCCTGGGAAAAGTAAAAGAAAGAAACTTGATAAGAAAGAGAAAAAGAAGAAGTAAAGCCAACGTATTTAAATTCAATTTGTTGTACCTCGTTGTATTCTTCCATTGGAGTAAAACTTAATAAATTCGATATAAATTTCAAAGACTCAAAAGTGAGACAAACTTTAAAATGCATATAACTTAATATGAGTAAAGGTACCCACAATATCCCTTTAAGTCAATTACTTACACAATCCCAATCACAGTCACAATCACAAAATACTAATCGTCTTGCGTCTATTAGAGGTGTTCAACAACCAACTACGAAACTTCAATTCGCTCCAAACACAAACGCGACGAAACCAGAGGAATCTCAGACAAAAAAAGATGAAAAGACTCATCTGAGAGTCAAAAGAGAACAACAAATAAAGAAAACAGTCATTCCACAAACACAAAGAGTATTCAAGCCACGACCAGCTACTCACGGGGAAGGTGGACTCGGGTTCTCTGGAAAAAGCTCGTCAACAGCAACACAGAATTTGGTGCTGGATAAAGTCGGGAAGAAAGAAAAGAAAACACTCCAGTTGAACCCCGAACTCGACTTCGACCCATGTAACCCTAACCACCCTATTTCACTCCCACTCAAAAATCCTGAAGATAAGGTCGTCGAGGAAGCAAAGAAAGAAGATACCACAGCTATTAAAAAAACTTACTACACGCCACTCGAAACGTTGGAAGAGAACCCAAAGATACTGAACTTCCCATTACATACAGAGAGTGGCCTTTTGTACGATGAATATGTTATGATGCAAATTCCGTCGGTTCTTCCTTTGAAGTCAACTCAGATGGAGGAAGAGAAAATTGATGAAAAGATCAATCAAAAGATCGACCAACAGAACAAAGACGATAAAAAAAGCGTTCCAAAAGAGGAAGAAAAAGCAGAGGACAAAATTCATGAAGAGCCAAAGGACATCGTGCAGAACCCACTCAACGGAATGTGCGGATACATCGGCACAATTCAATATCGAAAGAGCGGGATCGCAACAATGAAAATAGGAGGAGTCACATATCGACTCACCAAAGGAGCAAAACCCCACTTTTTGGAAGAAGCATGTGTGGTCTCACAAGCCAAAAAAGAGGTGTATCGACTTGGAAGTATATCGCAGCACGTAGTGATGGTTCCCGACCTCGAACAGTGTCTTGATTGATATCTATGTTTAGAGTTATAATTTACAACAAATAGATAGTATTTTATTATATTTAATAATTATATTCAATTCATATATACATAGAGACAAGAGTCAATGAAATGAACAAAACCTACTTGTTTCAAAATAAAGTACTTAAATAATAGTAAAGGACTTGAATTGGTATATTGATAAGTACAATGGAAAGGGTCAAAGGAAAAGAAATTAAAATTGAAAAGATCAAGAAGACGCGCGAAGAGAAAGAAAATGAAGAAAAAAAACCAAGACGACTCCAAGAGAAATTTGTGGGAACCATGCAAACACTTGAAAAAAGATATTTTCGACTGAAGGGAGAACCACTGCCAGAGTTGGTCAGACCAGAGTCGGTGTTGAAAAGCTCACTCAAATACGTGTTTGACAAATTCAAGAAGAACGAAGACTACAGTTACTTGTGCGACCAACTCAAGTCGATTCGACAGGACATGGTTATCCAACAAATCGAAGACCAATTTTCAATACTAGTGTATAAGACACACGCAGTCTATGCGAAGAAATATGTTTGTCTATGACAGTAACCCTAGTTTGATTTATTTTGGACAAAGAAACTTATGATCAGGGCGACATTTCCGAATTCATTCAGTGCGTTTCAGTATTAAACAACTTGGGCAAAAGGTCCGAATTTGGTATTGGCAAGACAGACATGGTGTATTACACCGTCTCCTTACTTCTTGCAGAAATCGACTCGAAAAACATCATCCCGTCCTCATCAATAATATCCAAATTAAGTCAAGAACTGATTACAAATGAAGAGGTGCAACATGCACTCAAAATGAAAAGCGCGTATGTCAATGGCGATTTTCTTGGGTTTCTGTACCTCTCTCAAACTGTCCCAGCGAAGTATTATAAAGTCGTCCAACACTTTGTCGAAAAGGCTCGGCTGCAAGCAGTCAAGATGGTTTGCTTTGCGATGAGAAGGACTATTACAATGGACAAATTGTCGGTGATTTTGTTTTTCCATTCGTCCAAAAAGTGTTTGTCGTTTTGTGTTAAGCACAACTTTGCGATGACGGACGGCATAGCTCTTGATTGCGAAAGAACTCTTGCGCTCTTGAATTGATTGTTTTTTGTGAGTTCGACTTTTAAAAAAAGTTTTATCAGTTACAACTGAATTTGTAATGAGTGTTGCTGCGATAGGGGGGGTGACTTTATATAAGTGTGATGTCGACTTATTAAATGGAAAGTGGTTCAATGATAATTTAATATCGTTTCAAATCGAGCACTTTAAGGAAGAGTTTTCTTCCTTACACAATGTGTTATTCTTAGACCCAAACGTATTTATTTTATTGGCATTTTCAGATGACTGTCAAGTGCTTGACGACTTAGATGCCAAGAAATATGAACATTTGATACTTCCTATTAACGACTTGACTGATAATAACTCAGTGAATAATGGAACACACTGGTCTTTGTTGTATGTGAATGTAGTAATGAAAGTCGCGTTTTACTACGACAGCGTTGCGAGTTCTTATAAAATCGAGCATAGCCAGGCTTATAGATTGTCTCAAAAAATAGGGAAATACTATGGCCAATCATATCACTGTATTCGAGCGGAATGTCCGTACCAAAACAATTCGATTGATTGTGGGCCTTCTGTGTTGTGCAACATCCACGCCATTGCCAAATTGATCCAAGAGAATTTGAGTACATTTGAGAAGGTGTGTCCTGAGTATACTCCACAACAAATGCGTGAGTTAATACGTCGTGAGGTAAGTTCATTCAAGCAAGATATTAAGTAAGAGCACATATTAATCATTCAATTATTCATTGCTATCTCTTTGTTAATTCCTTAAAGTTATTCAACACAAAAACCACTAAAAAAGAACTTAAAAAACAGTTATGTCCAATACGTTTGTCATCTTTTTGACTCTTTTACTCTGTTTATCATTATTATTAGCCGTAACACATCAATACAGACAAAGGATTTAATCACCAGAACCGACCCACGCTTTAAACAGATCAACGACGACCTCAACGAAACACAGACAGTCATGCAAAACAATATTAACGACATGACGAAGAACATTGCAACAGCCGAAGAGCTCCAAACGCAAACAGAACAAATGAACGAGAACGCTAACCAGTTCCGTCAAAAGTCTAACCAGCTCAAAACAGAAATGTGGTGGAAAAACGTTAAATTGTGGATCATCCTCGGCGTTGTTGTCGCTATCATAGTCATAGCCATCATTATCGTGATTATTATTCTCGCTACCACACTTAAAAAGAAGTCTTCAACCAGCAATAATTAACGCTGTGATTTTTTTCTCCCTTTTCTACTCATGTCTTTACAAACAAATTTCTACTCGTGTTTTGGGATGTTTTGTATCATTTTTTGTTGATTGCCTTTTTATTATAATGTATTTGAATTTTATTATAATTGAATTAATTATTAAAGATAGGCACATATATGTTTTTGTTGAAAAGAAAAAATGCAAGAGGTTTTCAAAAAAGACACTTTTAGACCTTTTTTAAATTGAAAAAAATGTAAAAATGGTAAGAAAAAAAGAATAACATTTATATAATAATGTTGTTTTATATATAACAATAAAGACAATAACATATTATTATTCATATAATTGCGATTAGAAACATTTATGTGAGTGTAATTTATAAAAAAAATGTTTATGTTTATAATAAACATAAAATGACTGAATATTAAGTGTTTTTTATTATATAAAAGTTTGAGGTTTTAAATATATTAATTAGTTTTTACAAAAGCACATTAAAAAATAGCAATTGAAATGAAAGTTGAATAATTTACAAAAAAAAATAAATTTAACACAACGAAAATTAAATATTTTTTTGTTTCTGTTTGTAATGCTTATGATGATCATTAGCGTTACAATACAATGTTAAACTTAATTAAAAATTGTACGTCTTATAACTCAATTGCATTCATTTTAATGCAAAAACTTGAACTTTTTGAGATGTAACTTTAAACGTTCAAAATCATTGTTTGTTGTTTATCAAAATAAGATTGAAACCTTGATAAATTTTGAATAAAATTTATTCAAATTAAATAAAATGTTTCAAGTGTAATTGAATAAACAACATAATAATTCACTAATTATAATTTGTTTTTATTCTCTGGTATATGTCAAAGTTAACAAATTTATTATTTATTAAAACTTTTTAAGATCTAAATATAAATAAAACAAAGTTGTAAAAATGCTATTAAAATCAAATTATTTTATTAGATCTTTTTTTATATTATTTGGTGAATTGTTCTTATAATATAGTAAAAATTAAAATGTGTGACAATACTTCATATTTTGATTTATAACAATTAGTACACTTTATTTTTATCAACCAATAAGTAAATTAACATCTAACCATTTAAAAAATCAATTTTAAAACTAATTTTAAATTAATTTGAGCATGTAAAAAATATTCGTTAATAAGTTGTTTAATCATCATTGCTATATCGTATTTTATTATATTTAACACATTCTGATTTGATCACTTGATTCATAATTATATTATTATTCAACAATCAATTACAATTGAATCAATTGCATTTTAAAATATTAAATATTCAAACAAATTACACATGTCACTTTTGTCTTTTGATATCTGTAAACTTTCTTTTCTGTTGTAATCTAAGCATTTGTAATAATATCATTTACGTGAAATAAACGAATTAATAATCAGTTGTCAAAATAATTGTTTACAATCAAATTAAAAAAAATAACAAGAAAACAAACATTGTTGTTTAATTTATTGGAATAAATATTCAATAAACGTTTTGATAATTAACGTATTGATAATTCTGATGAAACAATTTAAAAACCAAAAAAAACTATTTGTTATACTTATTTGAAGTTTTTTGGCTTAATTTTGAAAAATAACATTTCCGTTATGTTCTTTGAACAAACATTCACAATGAATAACTTCGTTGTCATTTATTTAGGAATTTAACTCGGACAGCAATCACCATTGTTTCAACTCAAATAAATTTTACATCTTTTAAACATATTTCCTTTGTGATTGAATTCTTTTTATTATTGAATAAAACATCCAATTTGTTTTTACTATTATTGTCGTTTTTCTTAATAACAAACATATTACTCCCTGTTTGTTAGACAATACTATGAAAGAAAAACAAAAAAATGTTTAATCATACTCACATAAACTTAACAGCTTATTCTTTGGATTACAACAATTACTTCAAAATATGAGGGGAGTTTAAAAACCACTTTTGGGTAAATTAAGTTATATAAATAAATGTAATAAAAAATAAAAAATAAAAACCCGAAATATTAATAAAAAAACGTGGATTATACACTTGTTTGATAAAATAATGGAAATATACATTTTTTTTGGAACAAAGTTTGGAAAAAATGTGTGAAAATATACTATACTTATAATTAATATATATTATCATTTATCACTGGGCTTTTTTTGAAATAACAATTTTTTTATCGTTTTTCAAACTTTTTTGGCAGAAATGCGAGAGTCTTTTTTAATTTAAAAAAGTTTGATTATAAACACCGCAAACTTCGGGAGATCTGGTAATAAAAAAACAACGGTAAAATTTTGTTCTCCGAAAAACGTTGTTATCCGACAATCTATTTTCGTACAACCAGTTTTTTTCTTTATCATTTTTAATCAAAAAAAAACGAGTTAATCAAAGCTATATTTATGGTTCATGTAATTATTTCTTCAACTATTAAAAACGAAAACCCATAATAGAATTCAGCTATATTTGTTATTTTTTATTTGAAAATGAAAATAACATTCGTCAACAAGAACAACAATTAATAGTTTAAATTTCCATTAATTAATAGTATGTTTGAACTGAAAAAAATGGGTGGAGAGATGCGGGGAGTCGGACGGAATTTATAAACATGAAGCTTTCAAAAATATTCACCGAAAATAGTTTTTCTGTACTAAAACTACCAAAAAGGAGGGAAAACGCCGTAATATAAAATATTGTTATTCTTTTTCGGAGCTAAAATTACTAAACACAATAAGGGCACTTTTTGTCAAAATGACAATTAACCGACGTTTAAGTATAGAATTTGGCAATAACACGCGACAAATGCCAAAGAAGAAAAAAAAACACCACAAAAAAGGAGGGTAGCAATCATTACAAAATGAAAAGTGATACTTCTCCAAATAATATGCTTCTTCCAAAACGCCATTTTGTTGGAATTCCCGATTTTATTCAAATGTTTTGGCTCACATGAAACACATTCTGTTGTTCAAACAATTTTCGAAGAAAAGTTTAAAAGAGTACCAAGAATAGGATGAGGCCAATATAAACAAAAAATTGCGTAGAACGACAACCCCACTATAAAAACAGTCGTTGTTTGTCAACTCTCATGACTACCCTCCTTTTGAAGCCAACCCATTTTGTAGAAGTTAGAAACAGTCTTGTCTATCAACAGATGGTATTACTCTCTATAATCAACACAAAGTACTCCCTCACTTTGCATCTCCCAAACAAGAAAGCTGTCGTTTATGAGCAATTGGTTGCTATCAACAACTTAAGTAACAAAAGTGAGTCCGTCGATGTCGAGGAAGTCATCAAACAACGCTGCCATTATCGACTTTCTTCGGAGAAAACTAATGGAGTTTCAGAGAAGACACTTCACAGAAGAAGACAGAACTACTCGATCATTGAGCGGATGAATTTTTTGGTCGACACTGTCAGAGAGATGGGGTACTTCGTCGAGTGTGAACAAAACGGTGGGAAACGTGGAATCCTTAAAGGTGAAGTAGTAAAGAAAATATACTGTGAAGGACGACTTCTGTTTGACGAAGCAGACATTGAAGAGTTTGGAAAGAAAATATGTGAGTATGTTTCTTCGTTATCTCTCACCTATGGAAGTCTTAAAATCGAAGAGAAAGACAAGAACATACAAAGTATTTATTACTGTGGAATGTAATACAATTACATCTAATTTCAACAATGTAATCAAAATTCAACAAATTCATCATTTCATGGACTTATTCTTAGCCATTAAACTATTTGTCATTTATTTTTATTTTCAAACTTAATAATAATAATAATAATAATTGAGTAATTAAATAATAATCTAGTGGTTTACAAATTATAGTAAAATATAATATTTATTGCTATAAATTGAAAAACATTTTGTATAATTTGAAAACGATAATTAAAAACTAAAAATAAAAATACTTGTCAAACCTAACTATGGAAAATAAAACCAAACTTCTGGTTAAAATTTTTAATAATATCACTTCAATAAAATTGACGTTATGAAAACAAAAACAGTGTTTTGTTGTTGTGGTTGTGTCAATACTTTACGCGTTCAATTGCAATTTCTTAATGTTTGTGTTTGGAATTAAAAAATGATTAGCAAACATATCAGAAAGCATAATTGAAAACAATTAAACAAATTATTTGGTCAATTGTACACTCAATCCAATGATCAAATGTAGAATTACGAAACTGTTGACATCTAACAACGAATTTGATTTAAAAACATTGTCGAATAAACACAAAAAACGTAATAATTTTTAAATGGGCTTGTCACTGATTATATTTACATGTGAATTGAATCAATCTTTAATGTGAAGGTTTACATGTGTAAAACCAACTGAGATCAATTACAGCTCGATAATTATACCAATTTTAATAGAAACAAAAATAGTAACTAATAATAAATGATTGTTAATAATAAAATATACTTAATCTTATTGAGTCGGACTTATTATTAATCCACCGACTCTAATACCAATAGCGCTATCGAATTACACAGTCATTTGCTAGTTTATACTAAATTCACCAAATTGAACAATAAAAATTTACTTCTTCTTACCTCCTTTTGCTTTTGGTCCAGGTCGCTTCACCCCTTTAGAAGCAGAACTCTTCTCGAGAGGCGCTTTTTTGACCTTGAAAAAAGAGTCCAGCCGCCCTTGTGTGCCCTTGCTTTTGATCTCTTTCATCTTCTGAATCCCACTCTTCACTCGCTCTTCATTGAAATGCTTCTCTGTCACAAGGTATTTGAGCAGTTCTTCCTCATTTGGCTTTTTCCACTCCAATGTGATGTTGTCTGCCTTTGTCACATCGGGGTGCAAAAACAAATTTCTCGCTTCTTTGTACTTCCATCCGTCGGGGACTATGTATTTCCCCTTATCCAAATGCTTCAAAAGATTCTCGATAGTCTTGTACTCCTTGATCATTTCAAACGCAGTCACGGGACCAATGCCCTTGATTGTCTCGCAATAATCACACCCAAGTAAAATGCACAAATCGATAAACATGTCCATAGTAAATCCAGTTTCTTCCAAAATGGACTTCAACGAGTACTCCCTGATCGGCTCTTTTTTGTTGTCGCTCGCACTGAACTTACGCAGTACAATATCAGAACCCAACGTCAAAGCGTCCATATCTTCAGTTGCTGTCGCAAAGCATTTCCCACTCTTTACCAGTTCGGCGCATGTCCCTTCGGCTTCGCAGTTTGCCTCAATCGCTGGAATACCCATCAGTTCAACCAACTTCTTAACATCGTCCGACTGTTCCTTTGTCATTCTTGCAGTTCTCTTCATTTGCTTTTTAATCTCTTCTTTGTCTCCAGACTCTTTCGCCTTTTCAAGCTTTTCAATCGCTTCTTTAGCGTTGGTCTGTCTCTTTTTGAGCTCCTCAGTTTTCATCTCGGGTGGCTTCCCATCGAAGACGTAGATCGGTTTAACTCCGCTTGTCATCAGTTTAATCGTTCTATAAAACGTACCGATAATGTGACTGGTGGTCTCCCCATACTCATTAACAAGTGTTGAACCCTCTTGGTCTCTCACTGCGGATATGAACTGATATACCAATATACTCGCATCAATAGCCACGACTCTTCCAAAGTACTGATCGATCTTACCGTCCTTCATAGAGTTCGGGGCGTACCTCTGTAATAGTTTTGATAGCCCCTTAATACCCATCCTTTGTTTTTTTCAGTTCTAGTGTTAAGTTGGACATCAAAGAACATCTCGCACCCAATTTTCTCTTTCTCCGATTACTAGTTTTATTAATAGTACTTTTATTATAAAATAAACAATAAAGAAAAGAAGAAAACATAAGCACAAAAAATCAAAGGATTTAGGCGTAACCGAATTGCTTGAGGATTTTGACCTTTTCTTCGTACTTCTTGTCGGCCAACACTTTATCTCTAGCTTCCTTGAAAGTTGTGGCTTTCTTAACTTTGGCTTCGTAGTACTTTTTGCCTTTAGCCTTTCTGATTTCTTCGTCTCTCTTGACGACGTCGGCGTATTTCCATCCGATGGCGGTTCCGAGAGTGCCGAGGAGGGTTCTCTTTCTAGTAGGGTTGTAGTTGTAGATAACAGCAGCTTCAGGGATTGAGGACTTCTTCATCTTGTCATATGGAGCGGGGCATCCTTCGAAACATTTCACGTGGGAAAGAGCAGACTTTCCTCTGAAGTTGTGTTTTGGGAGCATTCCTCTGATCGCCTTGTAGACCATCTTAGACGGTGAGCGTTGATGATATGGTCCTCTCAATGGGTTGGTGTTAACTCTCTTTCTTCTGTACATTTCCCATTTGACTAATCTCATACGAAGAGTGCCGCAGACTTCAAGCTGCTCGCAACGAACTAAGACTATGCGGCGGCCCAATAACAATTGCTTTGCTACTGTGGAGGCTACACGACCCAAGACGTGGCCTTTACAATCGACAACGATGACTCTCTTGCGCCCTTCCATCTTTGCCACCTTCAAGCGTTTTCGAGTTGTCTTTTAACCCTCAATTCAGTTATAAATTCTTTTACTATTAATCTATATGTATTTACTAGGGTTGTTTACTTCAGATTTATTCATCTTGTTTTCTAAGTTATTAACTCTATTATTTCGGGGTTGTATTTGAATTCTATTGGATTCTAATATATAACTATTATTATTACTTCAGTGGTTTTTCGTATTGTATTTTACTATATTTTTAATTGAAAATTGTATAATTTAAATTTATTTTTATTATAATATAATTAAATTAATAATTATAATAAATGGAAGATTTGGAATTATTACTTGTAATTTAATTATATTTATTATAATTTCCAATAATTATTGAATTAATTATAATATATAATATATTTTTAAATTAAATGTTAATAGTAAAAGTTACCATTTATTTGTTATATAAAAAACCCATTGTTCAAATAAGGAAATAATCAATTCACAAAGCAACAAAACAAACATGAAACATGTTATCACTTTAAATGAAAACATCACAGGTCACACCATAGTGATCACTCATGAATGGAAATTTCTTTCCTTTGACTTGGAATTTATCAACTCGACAATTTGAGCACTTCATCTGTGGATTTTCTTGCTTCCTTTTTAAGTGGAAAATGTAGTCGAGCCTCGATTTATCCATACAACTCACTTGATATGTTATTTCCGAGTCACAAGGGGTTTCTACTCCGGACGGGTCGATGAATGAGTCTCCGAAAGTAACTGGTTGAACTCCATTGTTATCCCTTAGTAACAAGTCGATGAGTTCCTCATCCGGAAATATTAAATTCTTCAATAAATCTGCATATTCCGTACTCTCTGTTGTTCCATCAGTTCCTGCTCTTCCGTTCACATTAAAGTCGCCACACAACAAAACGGGGTATTGGTCGTCTTTAATCATTTTCTTTACAAACTCTGCGTACTGTTTTATCTGGGAGAGTCTCATGTCTCTTGATGGCTTTGCTTCATTGTAGTCAAGTGTGTAGTCTGCTTGGGTGTGTGTATTAAATATGTGTAAAAATTGGTTTGGCCGGACCTCGATTTTGGCGTAGAGTGCTCCCTTTGATGCGACAGCATCCGCGTAGATACTCCGCTTATACAATTTGAATTTGTTGTATACTATTGGGTACTTGCTGATTATTATAAGACCAGCATCACATATGAAGATGGGGAACAGTGGTTTCTCTGTTTGTACTCGCCACTTGAATCCAGCTTTCTTTGCTTTCTTTAATAACTTCTCCCGCCGCCAATTAAGCTCTTTAAAGACCTCTTGGAAACAAATCACATCAAACGTGGCTAATTGGTCACGACAAAATTCTTTGAGGCGACTGTTTTTATGGTCGTGACCATTTGCAGATATCAACATTGGACGAAGGTACATATTATAAGTCAATACTCGTAATGGTTTGTTCTCTACGTCTACCACTTCACTCTCACTTTTTTCTGCCATTACTTTTTCGTAGTTGAAAAATAAATCTTTTTATGATAAAAGTTGTTTTATGAAGTTTGGTTTTTAAATAGGTTCATATAATAATATATATAGTAATAATCTTAAAACAATGGATTTTTGTTTCCATTTTTCATTTTTCATTATATATTTAATTTTTATTTCTATTTAAAATGGTATATACGTGTAATAATTATTTCTATATTGTTTATTATAAAACAATTTTAACTATATTTATAATTAATTGAAAAAACAATGAAATAATGGTCAAATTATTATTGATATGCGTTGTTATTATTTTAAAACAAATTTGTTACTTTATTTGTGTTATTTTGTTTACAAACTGTTATTGTAATAATTGAATTGTATAGTTCATTTCAAATAAAAATTAAACTAAAAAACAATTTGGTTTTTTGTATTTAAATAATAATACAAATATTTATTTTTATTTATCTTATTAAAAATTATACTATTTAACAGTTAATAAACAATTATTAATTATTAAACCAAAAAAAAAATTTCTCTGGTATAAAAATTAAGTGATTTTTTATGTTATTTATAATTTAAATATAAATTAATAGTTAAACTAATAGTAATTGATATACAAAAAAAATAAAAAAATAACAAATTTTAATAAATTGTTACTGTAATAAAAATATAATATTAATATAACAAAATATATTTAGTATAATATAATAAAAAATAACCATTTTTATGAAACATAAATAAACAAATAAAATGAATATAATACATATAAACTAAAAATTGAAGTAAAACAACTATTATGTCTAATAAAGGAAACCCTAAGTAGCTCTTCAAACTTAAAATATTGAGTATCGCCAGCACCAATGGGACGTTGCCTCCGTAATCACAGTGTTGTATACAAGACACCAAAAGTACCATTCGACAGAACAAGATTTGATGCCGAGTTGAAATTAGCCGGACAGTTTGGATTGAAATGCAAGAGAGAAATTCAACGTGTCCACTTTATGTTGGGCCACATGAGAACTATTGCTAAGGTGATGTTAATGAAATCCGCCACCGACCCAAAAAGAATCTTGGAAGGTAACGCTTTACTCAGAAGACTTCACAACCTCGGGATATTACCAAAAGATCAAACTAAGCTTGAGTTCGTCTTGGCTCTTAAGGAGGAGAACTTACTTGAGAGAAGACTTCAGACAATTGTCTTCAGAAAGGGCTTTGCTAAATCAATTCACCACGCCAGAGTGTTGATCCGTTCAAAGTTGATCTCTGTCGGTAAACAAATCGTCGATGTTCCCTCTTTCATGGTCAGAGTGTCATCCGAACCACTCGTACAACTCGCTCCTAACACTCCTCTTACTAACCCAGAGAAGCTCGGAAGAAGAAAAAGAAAAGCAAGAAAGGATGCTAAGGGGCAATAAGTGAATCGCTGTTTGACTTTTTTATTCTCTTTTTCGTTCAATGGTTCGATTCCTCTTTTTTCATTTAATTGATTCTATCTATAAAATTACTATTCTTTTAGTAATTTATTGGTATTACATGGAACTAGTTGTAAACTAGAAAAGAACTAAACTGATAATACTAATGAGACACTTGGTGAAGGAGTACGCAGATGACATCAACTACAACAAAGTACTGGGGTATTCGACGCAACAAATATTGTTTCTGAATAATGAAGGGAACGGACTTGGAGGGTTGTCAGAAACACTGAAATCTGGTGAGAACAATAAAAGCACAAAGGGAGCTAAGGTGACTGATTTTACGAATTTTGGGGCACCAGAAAAACGAGCGCTGCCTTTTGGGTTCCAACCCACCACATTTAAACCACTCTCACAGACAATGAAAGAAGCCCTTGAAAGACATCAACTGCAACTTGAGAAGGATATTGAAAGGCAACGCGAATTGTTACAGAAACAATCGGAATTGAGTCCAGATGCTGTGTTTGCACAAAACTCGCCTTTTTTGGAAATGTCGTGTTTCACTGATGATATTGATGGGGTTCAAGGGAAGAGGGCTCCAAACACAAACACTTTTGATAACAAAGAAGGGGATGACTTGGAAATGAGCCAAGAGGAATATAATCCTGAAAATGATTCAGAAGGAGCAGATAACGTTGATGAATCGGATCAATCAGACACTTCCACACAGTCTGAAAACAACCAAATGGAGAGTGAAGGTGGTACCGAAGAAGAAAAGGTTCAAGAGAAGAATCAGAACGAAGAAGTTAAAACAATGAAAGAAAATGGAATTGAGACTGTTCGATCCACCCCACAACAACAAAGCATTCAACTCGTTGAACAACAATTACAAGAGAAATCACTCCAACAAAATGTTGAACCAAAACATGTCGTCTCCGAACCAACAAAACCTATTGTATTTCCTGTGATCAAAGGAATCAAATTTGAACCACCACAACGACCAAAGGGTTCTGAACCCCAAACTCAAATTAAGGCGGAACTTCCACAACGAAAGGGTAATACTAATTGTAATGCAAAAATTGATAAGAAACAAAACCAATCGAATGAGACTAAAAAAGAAGACACCAACAAAGATAACTCGAAAAATATAGTTGGGACGTGCCAACAACTCGAGAAACACTATTTGAGACTTGTGAAGGTGATCACACCAGACTCAGTAAGACCTTTGGACGTCCTTCAAAAGGCGTTTGTGTTTGTCGGGAATAAGTACAAAAGCGGAGAAAGAGATATTAACTACTTCCTTGACCAACTCAAGTCGATCAGACAAGACTTGACTGTCCAGGGTATTGTTAATCAGTTTACAAGAGAAGTTTATATCGCCAACTTGATTACCGAATTGGACAACGTTTGTTATAATTATCATCTGTTGTTCAGTTGCACTTACTGACAGAACGATCTCACTGAGCTTATTACATGTGTGAAGAAACTCATTGAAGTCGATGGTGTATTATCAATACACGACGACACGCATATCATCTTTTTGGCTATCAGTTTGCTCTATTCACACACCGGACTCCAGAAGAACACAATGTCAATCAAGGCATATAACGACTTACTCGGTCATATCAAAACAGAGGTTCAAAACCCTCTTTTATTAAGTGTTTGCGAACTCTTGAAGTATTACTTCTGTGGCGAGATGCGGTCGGTTTTACTTAAAGCGTACAGTGGAACGTTCCCGACGTTGGTTATGAAATTTATTGAGAAGAATATTGTGCCGTCGGCTCGGATGATGTTGTTTGAGTCGGTTTTAATGACGTTCAAAGGAAAATTGTCGTACCAATATGTGATGACAGCGATGTGTTTTAAAGCAAATGATATCAACACGTTCAAAGAATTTCTAAACGACGCTAAAAAGCAGCTCCGCTTTACGTACGACAACCAAAACGAGAACATATTTTTCAATTGACGTGTTTGTGAGTGATTCACTTTTCTCCGTGGAGTCTGCGAACGAGCCACAAGTTCCATTCCTTCAACGGAACTTTCTCGGCGAGGCATTCCTCGTACAACATTGTGTTATCAAGGACTATTTGCTTTGGCATCACAATTTTGATTGCAAGTGCTAACGAGTTGAAGAGTACACGTCTGTCATCTTCTTTGTCCAAAGAGAACAGTTCTTTGTTTTTGTAGCCCATTTCTAGTGTGCTGTAATACTTCTTATCTTCGATGTAATCGTTCTCTAATTTCTCAAGGGTCTTTGTCATCTTTTGGATTGTGAGTTGATCGGCTTCGTGCTGTTTTGCTAAGTCAGAACAAGCGATTTTGGTCTTGATTTTCTCTTCTTCTATGCGAGTCTTCTCATTTGTCAACTCACTCACAGCTGCCGTCTTCTCGCCAAGACTTTTTGAAAGACCGTCGATGATGATTTTGAGTTGCGAGAAGTCTTCTTCCTTTGATTTGCTTTGTCCTTTTAAGTCTTCCAATTCGCGAAGCTTGTCGTCCATTTCTTTCTTCAAGCGTTCCTGTGCCTCTTCTGTCATTTTCCTCTCATTCTCCTTCTCTTGTGTCAACGTGAAAATTTGGAGTTTGAAAGCGTCGTTCTCGAGTTTCAACTGTTCGAGTTGCTTTTGAATGTCATTTTTGTCTGTTTGATGTGTTTCTATTTGTTTTTGTAATTCAGAAATCACTTTGTCCTTTTCACTGACAGTATTTAACACGTCACGGATTTTCTTTTCACTGTCTTCGACTTGTGCTTTGCCTTTTTCCTTTTCTTCTTCAGTTTGTTGAAGTAAATTGTCGACTTGAGAACGAAGTACTTCAATTTGGTTGTGTAAGTCTTTGTTGTCTTGTATCGTTTTGTCAAGTTCTTGAACAATTTCGCATTGTGTACCCATCGAGTCTTTCATCTTCGTCTTAAGCTCTTCGACTTGTTCTTCTTTGCTCTTGTTTGACGTTGTTAGTTCTTCAATGAGTTTTTCCTTTTCATTTATTTGCTGTTCCGATTTCTGTATTTCTTCAGTGTGTTTCTTTGTTAATTCATTGAAATCACTTTGAATTTTTTCATTGTGTGTTGTTAACTCCACATTTGTTGTTTTCATTTTCTCGCACTCCGTCTCGAAAGTCTGAATTTTCAAATCGAATTCTTTAATCATCGCTTCTTTTTCTTGAAGGTTAGAAACAATAGTTTCCTTTTCTTTTTCTTGTTGTTGAATTAAACTATTAAACTCATCGATACTTTTCTGTTGCTGTTCATTTTGAGAGTTAAGTTCTTCTATTTGTGTTTTATGTGTTGTTTCGACGTCTTCTTGTTCTTTTTTCATTCTTTCAATTTCACTTTTCAATTGTTCGCAATTACTTTTAAAACATTCACTTTCATTTGTAATAAGTTCTAATTGCTTTTCTAATGCTTCTTTGTCTTTCACTTTTTCCTTCAAAGTTTCAATTTCAGTTTGAAGCTCTTCTGAGGCTTCTACTTTCTTGTGTAACTCTTCAATCTTCACGGTAAGCTCTTTAACTTCCTCTTCAAGCTTCTTCTTATCTTCTTCTGATGTCATTCGCATTTTCTTTAACACTTCTATGTCTCGATTTTTATCATCAAGTTGCTTCTTTTTCTCTGCCAACTCTTTCACGATTGGTGATGTCAAGTCCGTTGCAGAACTGACTTCCTTCATCGATTGGAACATTTTTCTCCGTTTACCTCTTTCAAGACCCGTCGTCAAGTTTTTAATTAACTCTTCTTGCTTACCGACCTTCTCTTCCCAGTCTTTTAACATCAACATGTTTGGGTCATTCACAATATCAAAAAGCATTTCTTCGTTATTCTCATCCATTTTAACATTCATGAAGTCGTTAAGTAATTTCTGAAGACTCTCTTCCATTGGGATGAGTTCTTTAGCTTCTTCTGGGATGTTTTCATCATCCATATTAGGGTATTTGATCTTCACATTTTTAACACAGTCCAACATTCTTTGAATGGTGTTAGCAACTCGCGCTCGTAAAGTTGTTCGCGCTTGTAGTTTTCTTTCTCTCAAGTTCTTTGCAATTTCGTTCATCACTTCATTGTCTTCAAAATGTGTATCTTTCATAATAAAGAAAGTTAAATAGACATAAAGACAGTAGTCATCAACAGTCCCTTGTGCAACATAATCCGCCATTATCAGTTTTGGTATATTCAGACGCGCATAAGCAACATCAATACATTTCTGTACCTTTTCTGTATTACTTCCTTCTAATGTGGATATATCAATAACGCCACTTTGCAAATAATTTAATAATTGCGCAAATATGATGCCATCGGCCAGTGATTGTTTCAAATCAAATTCGGGGTCTTTCACGCCAATTCTTCCTTTCACCCATTTCGTGAAATCGACCATCCTCACAGAGCAATCTATTGATTAGTTTTTTTATTATTAAATCACTCGAAAGAACAAACTTCCAAGACGGAATTTATACATCAATTGGTACAATAACGACAATATGGCTTTCTTATTCCCATTAAAAATTTCGTCAGAGGCTGCAGAGGTTTTAACACCTTCATCCTTGACAACACGAATAATTTCAGAGAGGTTTTGAAGCTTCTCGATATCTTTAGTCGGCTTCCTGATGATAGTTGGAATGTTTTTACAACTTAAGTTTCGAAGAAACTTCGCGAGAACCAATCCATCTTTTAAGTCGTGGAGCAAATCGTCAACAAAAGGGTTGTCAGAGTTGACGTAGTTAACAAACATTTTGTAGGCCTTTTTGTTATTCGAAATATCACTAACGGTGTGTTGAATAAGAAGAAGATGATAAGTAAAGACAAACGTAAATTTGCTGAGTCTCAAGTTGTTGGATTTTTTCTGTAGTTGAGAAAGAAAGTTCACTCATTGTTCTATTTAATCAGATTGTAGCGATCTTTGTTTATCAACGTATAATCCTCTTTTTAATTATCTTTTTAGACTTTCTTCGTTGACCAATCACCTCCGATTTTATTTTGCAACACTTCTTTTTCATTTTTGGGTGGATTAAACATCAGAAAAACGACATTTTACACATTTTGCAATAATTAAGGTCACTTAAAAAGAAAAAAATGGTTTAAGAATGACTAATATAGAGTGGTTTTGCAAATTATCATGTTAGTTTGTCAAAGGGTATTTTTGTCCATTTTGTGCCTTTGAAAAGACTTTGGGTAAAGCCAGCCCATTATAAATAAGCAGGGTTTTAATTTATAATCTGGTACTGATAATTATGTTTATATTTTTGTCTAAAAAGTGGATAGAAATTCGATTTATATGTTGTAACGAATTTTTTTCTTAAACCTTTCTTATATTACTAATCCCGTTTATTAAAAGTTAATGTAATAATAACCATAAAACACTTATTATTTATTATATTTAAAATTATTTAATAATCATATCAAAAATATACATTTTGTTTTACATTATATAACAACACCCACAATTCATAGATTAGGAAACAATGGTTTGCTTTTTCAAAAAGTAGTTTAATTTTTTATATAAAAGACGGCGTAAATTAAAAAGTGAAATGTTGTGGTTTTATTATCTTAGAAACTATAAATTGTTGGGATTTACTAAAAAAAATTAGAATGGATGTATAATTATAATTTAACTATTTGGATTTTAAATACATTATAAGTACCTCAACCGGTTATGAAGCGCCATAATACGAAAAAAATTTCATTTATTTACCCAAATTCTTAATTCAAATTGCATATCAATTTTTTAATCATTTGAATTTTGATAAAAATACCACGAAATATTCTTCTTATATTGTTTTGATAGTGATAATAATGAGAAACTTTTCTTTTGTATTAAATAATTTTCTATTGTGATGAAGAAGACAACACTACATTTTAAATTACGTTATAACTCTTCATTGAATTACATTTAACATTTTACAACTTGTTGCTAATTGAATATAAGACCAATTTTTGGAAAGCTTTGAAACACAAACAATGAAGTGGTATCTGAACACTGGTTCAGATAAAATGATTATATTCCAGTGGTGAAATATAATCTTTTTGTCGATTATATATAATAACAACAAGTTTTTTATTTTTTTCAAATTAGTCTTTGTCAAAGTAAATTTGAATAAAATTAACAAAATGAAGATTTGGTGTCGACATTGTGCTTTCTATTAGAATTGTTTGTCGTCTTGTTTATAATTGTTATTTCAAATTGTTAATAGATGAATGTTTCTTGTTTGCTCCATCTTTTGTTGCTAATTGTAAATAATTTACATTCTAAAAACTTGTTGTATTTCTTGTGTCGGACGATAAATTAAAATAACATACTTTTTTGATTGTTGTAAAACAATACAGTATATTTTTTCATATTGCATACAATCAAAAACAATCTTCGTTCCAATGTAGAAAGTTGAGTTTAAATATAAGTACAAACCATTGTTGTATTTACAACGTCTGCATTTTAGTTCGTTTTTGAATTTGTGGTGTCACAATTTCTCATTGGAAGACATCTATAATCTCTTGTGTGATCTACATGTACATCACAGATTCAGATTTTTAAAAACAAATTTTACTCTTTAGAATTTAGTCTCTTCAAATTTACAAACAACAAAATGTGAATTATTCCAAACATAACAATGTTTGCATTCAAATAATGATAAAGACTAAAGCTGGTATTAAAATAATACCAATAAAAACAACAATTAAATTGTATAAAAAAGTTGTTAATAATAAGCCATGCAATTATTGTGTAAAATAATGATGTTAAATCGCTACCTACAGTTTCATAAAGTTTGTTTAGAATCTTATTTATAAAACAATTGCGATAATAGTAAGACAAAATATTTATAAAATTTTTCAAGCTAGAACGAAAAACATGGGGTATTAAAAAAAATATGGTAAGTACCTCGTTGATTCTTATATTTTTTTAATTAATTGAATCACCAAAAGTAAATTTTTGAGTCACTTTTTTAATTAATACTACTCATTGTGTATATAAACCGAAGTTAAATATTATGTCTTTTATCTTCATTTCAACTTGAGCCTTTGGTTCGTTTTTATGTTCACTAATTGAATGTTATATATATTTTTTCTGTTGTGCACTTTGAAAAAAACAGATTCATATTGGATAATAAATTTAAATAAACATTTTTATAATTTAAAATAACATTATTGGGTTCGACTAACAGACCAATTAAGCAAAGAATAAAGTTTAATAGTTTTAATATGTTTCATTTATTTATTATGAGGTCTTAAAAATACCGGTCAAATTAATATTTATAAAACTTGATTATCCAATTTTAGATTAATTAAATTTACTTAAAATAGGAGTGAGCAAAACTTCTAATTTGAAAAAAACAACATAATAATTAAGTGTTCCTCTTTGTGGACCTTGTTATCCCGGGTTACAAATAAACGGTTAAAAGAAGATTTAAATTATTGGGTTTTGGTTTGAATGTTGAGAAAACCAAAATTCTGATCGTTTTTGAGCTTAAATTGTTAAATTCTGAAAATTTTTTGTTCTTTAATTATCAATGGAGTTAACAATTTGATTGAACAGCTTTTATAATTTATCATAAGATTTATCCAAATAAAACTGAACAAAAATGTTTTATAATCGTTTTGGATGGTATAGAATTTATATTACATTTCCTCGAAACTAAAATTCACATGAAGAGATTAAAACATATCAAATAAATTTGAATCTTAATATAATGTCAATAATAAACTTGAAGACTTACAATAGTCGAATTAAACATTCTAAAGTGTCTTTGTTCTTTTTTAATAAGCAAAATAAAGACATTTGGTAACATTTCATGGTTTTAAATAAAAGAATTTGCCGACACTTGAGAGTATAATCAATAATCATTTAAAATGACTCGAATTCTGTTGTTATAATAAATATTTATTAGTTGAATAAGAAAACATATTTAATAATATTGATAAATATTTTTCTATGAGAAAACAAATAAGAAAAAAAAAATATTTAAATTGCTTTGGTTTTGTTTATCCACGATTTTCTATTTATTTGTTTTTCCATATGCGGAGTTAAATTCCAATGAAACTTTCAAAATGCACAATGATGCAGCAAAACGCTCCAATAAAAAACAAACACTATTTACAATATAAATATTGTTATTAATCAGTAACAAAACAATTAATTGGTTAACAATATGCAGTTTTGCTAGGGTCAAAACTTTTCAACTGTCAAGCCTAAAATAACGTGTGAAGAGCTTCTGCAAACATCAGAAAAAACAAACAAGATGAGTTGTTTTTGGACTTGGACTTTCGCCCAACATCGAGAAATTATTTTTCTTAATCAATTATACTAAATAAAAGTGTGTTTAAGTTAGCCAATGAAATACACAATTGCACCAGATATGCAATTGTTCATAGAGTCCAACTTTGTACGAGAAACCCCTATCACAATCTACAAAACAGAATTTTTTCAAACAATATATATTTATATATTTCCAAGTGGAATGCGCCGTTTTTTAACCAACGAATCAGGATAGCAGTACCATTATTCATTTTTAGAACAAAAACGACCACTTTGGATTTGTCATTTAAAGTGAATGAACTCATTGTCATTGGTATGCAGCAGACCAAAAGAAACGTGGTCAGACCTGTCGACAAAAGGCAGCAACACGCTCTCGAGAGTCGACAGAAGAGAGAAGAAAAAGCCATCCTTCAAGGCTTTCTTGTGTATTTGATCAATCAACATTCAGTGGTCGAGTTTAAGAAGCCTCGAAAGAAAGCGCGGCTGACCCACCAACTCTTTTCCATCAAAACGTTGACTTTTCAAAACGAGAAACTTGACATTGGGGAATTCGTGAAGAGTTGTTGTAAAGTAGACTATAATAAGGATATTATTGAAGGACTGGATCAAAAGAAAGCTTTTCGAAAATACCTCAATAAAAAGACTTACTTCATGAGTTGCCTGTTAATGGATATATGCTTAGAACTCGGCTATTTCTTTGAGTGCAAAAGGGTAGCAAAAGGAAAACGAAATTATAAAACAGAACAGATAGAAAGAGTATGGAAAGATGGAGTCTATCTCTGTGGAAAAAAAGAAGTTATTAATATCGGAATTGGGATGTCAGAACATTTGTTCGAAGTGTCAAAAGACACAGCAAATAACTGCTTCCTTCGAAGGGGTGAGTTGAAATTTTAAACCATAATTACATAACCAGACATTTGTACATTCTCATTGATTTGTTTTTTATTCTTATGTTTTGTATCATATACTATAGTAATTATTATCATATTTATTAATACATTAAAATGTCTATTTAAATAATTGTAACTTATTTAATTTACAATAAATACTAACTACTAATAATAAGAACTTTACTATTATATTTGTTTTTTTTTAATTAAATTTAATTAATATTTACTAATATAAATACCATTATTGTTTGAAAAAAAATAATATAAATTATAATACATACTAGTATTTTAATTATTATAATATAGAATAATAATATTATAATTTTAGTATAGTTACTAAATCAACAATTTGTGATTTTTGAAAAGTTTTTGATTAATTTAATATTTTGGAAACTACTACTAAATACGATACGAACATCTTTTTGGTTGAGAAAACTAAAATCCATAATAAAAAAGCTAATTTTTGAAACAAAGTATCGGGGCTTTATCTTATTATAGAAATCTTTGGAATTATAATCACTCAAATATTAACAATTATTTATTTTTTAAAAAAGAGTTTGATAGTTTATTTTAATAAATTTTACATTAATTCAACTAGTAACATTTTTTTTTGTCTTTACCACTTTCTCTTTCAATTAACTATAAAAATTACCAAAAAAAACAATATGATTTTCTATTTTTGTGTTGATGATAATAATAATGTTCTAAAAACTTCCAAATAAATAACAAAACTAAAAACCCCACTTTTTTTGTTATCAAAAGGCATATTTAATCACTTTGCTGCACAATTAACAATAAACTATCGAATATAATACATAAATTAACCAGAATAATTTTTTTTGCAATTGAGTTCCATTAAATAACTCCGACAGATAGCTGTGGTTCAACAAGTTTGAAGAATGGTAAACATTTTCCTAATGATCTCCAAATCATATTATATTAATGAAATACGGAATTTTCCTTTTCTGCGTTCTGATCTGTTGCGTTTCGTCCTCATCGTTGAAATTTGATTTTGACCTCGACTTTTTCTCCCAAGATGACATCTTTGGGGAAACTGATTTGGACAACTTTCTCGAAGTCTTCGAAGGCAACGAGTCAGACTTTTTGCTTGATGACGGTTGGTTAGACAAAGCAAAGAGTAGTATTCACAACGTGGTAGAGAAGTCGACCGATTGGATGGCGAAGAATGGTGAGAAGATATCAAGTGGTCTTGACAAGGTAGCTAATGTGGCTGGGACTGTTGCCAAAGTGGCCGGTGTTGTGAATAAAGTAGCTACTGTTGCTTCTGTCATACCTGGTGTTAATGCTGTTGCTGGTTTGTTTTATAACTTAATTATTATAATTATTAATATAATAAATATTATTATAATTATTATAATTATTTATATAATAAATATTATTATTATTATAACACATTTAACAAAAAGCACCCATTGCAGCAGCTTCTAAAACCATTGAAACTGGAGCGAAAGCAGTGAAAACAGTTGCTTCTGTAGCGAAGAAAACGGTGGATGTTGCGACCGACTTTTCAAAAGGGTATCAAAAAGGTGGGGTTAAGGAAGGGTTGAAACAAGGTGGGAAGACTGCTTTGAATAACGCAAAGAACTGGGCAATAGACAAAGCTGTTGGTGTCGTAGCAGATGCTGCTGTTGGTGCTGGTAAGAAAGTACTAACTGGACAGAAGCTTGATCTTTCATCTGCCAATTTGAAGTCGACTGCAAAGAGCAAATTTAAAGAAGCGTTTAATGTGAAAAAAAAGATGAAGAACACGTTAGGTGACATAAAGAAAACCACAAAAGGCTTCAAAACCACATATAACGATAATTTGTCAAAGATAGCTGGTGGAGACAAAGCGTTGAAATTATCGACCGTCAAGAATGGCGTCAAGAACTTGAAAGGAAAAAGTGCGAAACAAATCGCATCGGCAGCTAAAACTGGACTGAAGAATGTGGGGAAAAAGATCACGGCAAATGGCATAAAGCAGACGGCGAAAGCAGTTGGAAAGGGTGTTGCAAAACTTGCGATGGACAAGGTCGAGAAGAAGGTGAAAGACAAGATCAAAGGCACTTTGAAAACGTCCATCAACAAAACTACCGCCAGAGTTGGTGCTTCAGCCAAGAAGGCTTCCACCAAAGCAAAAAAAGTTGTCAAAGGAGTAAAAAAGGTTGTTGGTAAAGTGAAAGGCACCGTCAAAACTTCGATTAAAAATAAAGTCAAGTCGAGTGTCAAAAGTATTAAAAAATCCGCCAGTAAAGTAAAAAGCACTGTAAAGAGTGTTAAAAAGACGATGAATAAACTCAAAGGGACAATTAAAAAAACCAAAGCCAAAGTGGCCAATAAAGTGAAGAAAATTGTAAAGAAAGCTCCAAAGAAAATTATTACGAAAGTAACAAAGAAAGTGACACCCAAAGCTTCCAAAGGAAAGAAGAAATAAATCAAAACCATTGTTTGCGTTATGAATAGTATAAATTATAATATATATACTACTAACTTTAATAAAATGAATAACAGAATTATACCCTACCTTCACTTGACATTCACAATTCATTCGACTTCCATTTGTTTTGATTTCATTTCTAACCTTTGTCTCATCTTTTCTGGGAACGCTTCAACTTGCTTTTTAAGCTCGTTGAAATACAATTGGGTCCATCTGTCCTCTCCAAGTGGTACCGAACATCGGTAAATAAGTTCCTCTTGGGATATATTACAAGCCATTGCTTCTAATGTATCAACACACACACTAATATGATTCGGCTTTGGCTTATCATACCGATATATCAAATATTTCCATCTCCCCGTCCACACATCAAACGACGTTTCCACAACTCCGCTCGTATTCCACCCATACTTCTCTTTGTCTTCGTCAAATGCGTCCAAGTCCGCATTTGAAAAGTTCAACTCTCTCATTATGATATCTCTTTGTCTGTCGACCGTGAACAACATCTCTCGATTATCTCCATAATATCCGTACTCTTTGATGCCATAATCGATCGTCCAATGTGTCATATATTTCCATTTAAACAACCCAGGATTTGCAAACGGTTGATATGGGATATCTGGTGCAAAAATGATACCATCAGACCTATGGCATCTCAACTCGTCTTGAATGACATAACTATCAATTTGGTCATTAAAGCAGATCATTTCAAAGATCTTCTTGATATCCTCCTTTTTAAAGAACGTCTTCACAATGATATCAAACACTCTCTCCGTAGTAGGCACCTTCTTCTCACTCGATAGTCCACTCTCACTCTGCACATCATCCTCTTGTATCAACTCATTGTACCTCTGAACCACTTCTTCAATTTTCTTGATCCTTTCGCTGTAGATCTGTTTGGTGATGTTATACCCGTCGACTATCATCGCATCAAACAGCATCAAAACTGGTCGAAAAGTATTGATGTTTCTCACAATCTCGCCATCAAATAATGAAACACCATGCTTCCCAGAGATCTCAACAAACTCGGGGAAGTTGACTTTATAAAACTCCATCTTTCTGGTGACCAAATAGACTTCTTTCTCTGTCACTAATACAAAATGCCTGACACCATCTGTTTTCTCGGAGACAATGTACGGACTTTTCTGAATAATTTCAAAGGATGTCCTTCCAAAATTGACGGGCATCGCACCCGGAAAATTGTTAGACTGTCCCTCAGTCCCGGTGATCGAGTCGCACACAAATCGCGACAGTGCAAACCCCAAACTATACTCTTTGTTCATTTCAAGGTCTTTGAAGTAGTTTCCATGGGACTTCTTGATCAAGTCGCGGAAGTTGTTGATGTATCCCATGTACTTCGTGATCTTTTCGCGGAGTCTTGGTTTGCTCTCATCACCCAAATAGTCTGCAATGACGTTGGAATCAAATTCAAACTCAACTTCATACGATCGAGTCTTCTTGTCGTCTTCAAATGAATGTTGAACAACATCAGTAAAATCAACATGGAAAAAGTCCTCGAAGTAAAACGTGTATCTATGTTTCTGTCGTGTCATTCGCTCTTTCCCATACACAGTATCGCTGTTATATGCTTCTTGTGTTTCTCTTGATAACGCAACTCTAAGACCGTATTCATGTCTTCCAAGTACTATCTCTTCCTTCCTCAGTGACTCTTTGACTTCGACGTATCGCACCTTTTCGCCATTTTCAATCGCATCAACAACTCTTACTGTGTCGTTTCTTTCATTTTTGAAGATGTGTTCCGTCGTATTCGTCTCTGTCTGTTTCAGTGTTTCAGAACGATTCGCAAACCCCAAGATCGAATGAAACTCCTCTTGTTTTATGCCTGATATGAAACGGCCATTTTCGATCGTCCCAAATCTTGTCTCGACTTCTGTGTTGTAATCGCTCCTCAGAGTAATTTGGCGTAAAAACTCTTCGTACTGTCTTATAGAATTTTCAACATCGTACACAGTCTTCTTCCTCATTAATTTTCCTATTAAATTTTTTAGTTCTTTTATTCTTTTAATAATTTATAACAAAAACTCAATAACACAATTGTTAATTTTTGTTATTTAATTGAACCCAAAAGAAAACACACAAGTTTCTCAAATATCGGAAATTGAATCGTCTTGGAACGCTTCATTGATGATTTTCATTCTTCTTCTCTTCATAAGTGTCTGAACACCAACAACACTTAAAATGATCAACACGGCTATAATAACACACACTATAACAGATACTACTATCCCTATAATAACACCATTCTTAGCTTTCCCCTTTTCTACGACGGGAGGGTCTTCTATTTGAGTAATAACTGGATAGACGGACCCCGGTTTGTTCACTGTATTGCACACCTTTTTGTTCTCAGAGTCGATGAAACTCGGAGTACTTCCTCCGTCCAAAATGACGATTTCTTGGTCTTCATTGATACCATTCACTACGTAGATGATATCGATCTTTTGATCCGCACTGATCCCTTCGGAACAAAACTCGTTCATTTCAAGACAGACGGTGATGTTGTCTTTGATATATACATTCTCATTATCAACAGTTAACCCATCACCTACTAATAAGGCGGTGCTCTTGTCATCCACATCAATGGACGGCAACTCCATTCCCGCTCCTTTCAAATGTCGCGTGTTTTTTACTTTCGACATTTTCTTGAAGAACAACTTGGCGACTGGAGTCTCCGTCGTTGCGTCCTTCCCATTCGCGTTAAGAATACTTTGGACTTGGAATTTGAATGTATCAGTATTCATGTTTTGGGGTGTTACAATGTTTGTGCTTGTCGGACTAATCGAAGAAGTCGCTGTAAGAAGCTGCACTTTCTCGCCACTGTCTGCTACCACCTGCTGCTTCTCAACCTTCGTGTCATCGGCGCTATTGGAAAACATCACTTGCGCACACGACGAAACTGTTTTATTGTCTACACACTCGGCAAGTGTCTGCATGTTGCCGTACACACATTCTAAAAAGAAAGACCCAGTAGCAGACTGATTGACCATCTTTTCAAAACAACTTCTCTCGTCCATAAAATCAAATTTCTTTGTCAACGCAAGCTTAACCAATGTAGATGAATACACATCAGTCACAACACCTTCTAATGGTTTACAATCAACACCTTCAACAAATATAGTGTTACACGTGTCACTGTTACAACACTCCACATTTTCAGTCGTCGTTGTTGTTTGATCCTTCATGAAGTACGTGTACGTGGGCACCTCACATACCCCTTTCTTTTTCATTTGAACTACTTTAGTGGTCTCTGAAGTACATACATCGCGAAGAAATTGCGAGTACAAATACGAATTATACACCCAATACTGTAACACTTTTCGTTCATTAAGATATGCATTCGTGTCATTGATGTCAACCAACTCTCCATATTGAATGTACGTTTTTGTTTTAAATTTAACCAAATCAATTTGTTGGTTTTCGGTGTTGTAGATGTCTTGAGTAATATCAAAATCAAGTGTCTCCTTAATATTCACTTTGTATTGTCGATTGTTGATTTCATACCGAATAACACCGCTTCTCAAACTTATTGGCTTGCCAGTGTACGTATAGATGCTCGAAGACTTGTGTTCGCCCGTTGTCCAATTGAGTATGAAATAGACATTGAACCCTCTCATAGTTTCTTCCTCCTCTCCTTTAAGATTAAAAATGGTTGTAATGGTGTTGTCATATGACACATTCATCTTATTCACTCGAATAAATCCTTTACTTGCAAGATCACTCATCGAAGTACTATACTCCCCAACACTGAATGTAAAATTGTAGTTGGACAATGATTCAGGAGTCAAGTTCTGTCCAAACCGGGTGTCTACATAGACTACACCAATACAATCATTGATGTATTCTCCTCCAAGTGCTGTTTGTGACGGATGGAAAAGTGTCGCTTTTGTGTTATAAACGATTTCAGAAGCTTTCACGACACAAGTGTCTTGCACAACTGGTTCTGTAAAAACGTTCAGTTGTGTATTTCCATATTTGTAAATACCCGTTTTCGTGAGAACGTAGTTGTTTGTCGCTACTAAAACATCCTCTGGCAATTTATATGAGTTGTACAACAACTGATTCATTCCAGTGTGCACAAAAACGCGATTTCCGTCGTACATGACCAAATCGCCATTACCCAAAACAGAGATAAGTGGGGTGTCTTCATATATATAAGAAGTCATTTCGACGACGCCGTCTTCTTTAAAGAGATAAAGCTTGTCCATATCAACACATTCGACTGCAGTTGTGTCAAATTTGGTCGGAACTGTCTTTTGAGGTGTACAGTGGAGATTTGTCTTTGAGAGAGTTGTTCGTTCTTTAATTGAACATATCGGGTAAGCATCTCCGGAAGCAGGCGTAATATCAATTTGATACACTTTGTTCTCAGTAGACAACAAACAAGTCGTTTCGTCGCAGTCCATAAAGAGGGGCTCTTCCATTGGAGTATTTGTATTTGAAAGTAACTGAAATGTAAGTGGATTTTGGTCTGGTTTTGGATCGGTGATGTAAGTAAATTGGTAGCTTTTGAGTATCAAGTTGGGTGAAATGTATGACACAGCCAAGAAAACCTCTTCGGTGAACATCTGTCTCAAAAACAAAAGCCCTGTCCCATCAAACACAGACGAATTCAAAATTGTTCCTTTAGGACATGAATATTGGTCGATAATAAACCCATTATTCTCGGTATTATATATCAAGACGTTGTTACTATCATAAGCTGCAACAATCACTTTACTCTCGATGGATGTGTTGTAAAGATA